CTTTGCTAAATGCCAAACATCGAAGTTGTGTTTGATGTGCGGCCTCTCATTTTTCATCTGCGCTCTGACTTGCACGTGCCTATCTGTAGCAAGCTTTGCAATAGCCACTTGTTCCTGTTGTAGGTGATCTAGGCAACGTTTTAGGCCCTCCAACTCCATCGCATTTGAATTTTTGACCTCTGTTACCTGGACCAGAGAGAAGTCAAGAACTTTAGATGAAGCTGTGTTCACAATGCTGTACGTACCGTATTTAGCCGAGTGGCCTGGGCTGTCACGGCGACCATCACCTCCTGCTACCACCTCGGTGTTTCTCACTTCGTTAAGAATATCCACTTGATGCTCAGCAAATGTTTTGTTAACAATGGGGAAGAGGTACTTTTTCTGAGTAGAGCTAAAATTTCTCTGGCTAAAAAATTGGACGTTAGTTGCCTTTGTAAAATTAGCAATATTGCTGTAATCGTTGCCGGTAAATAGAATTCCAGCGCTGAACAGCAAATTTCCAGCGGCCACTGAACTTACAAACGGCTGTGTTTGCCATCGTAATGGTTGATCATAGCAACCAAGGCATTCAATAGTCGCAAGAGATCCCTTGGTTTTTAATGATGCTTTTTCCAAGTTCCGTCCACAGTTTGGACAGTGCACGTCACGAGAAAAAAGCTCTTTTAGTTTGCTTTCAAATACCAAGAACTTTCGCTCTTGGTGAAGATCACCGCAATCTTCATTAAAACAGTTCGTGGACTCCTTTTCCTCGTCATCGTCAGGAATTTCAGTTTTTGTGTCGAAATCCTTGGCTTTCGGAGTCGAAACTTTCACTAAATTCGTTAACTTCGTAATCACTTAGGTCCGATATGTTCGATTCTTCATGATCTGACACATCGGATGGAATCCACTCATCTTCAACTTCCTCTTCTTGGCAGTCAATTTGAGGAAAATCCGATGTGTCAATTTCGGAGAAATCCTACGTCCTCTTGCATTTTGGAAAATCTTTTCCAGAAACCCTAGGGACTTGCTCAGCGGGCACAACAGGGGAATCACTTAAGAGAGCGGCATAACTGTGGTCATTCGCTACAGCGTGACGAACGTCTGCTAAGGGAATGGAAATAAATTTATGAGGTGAATGCACAACAAAAGGTAAATCTGTTTGACAAGCTCGGTCGACCATTGTTATTTCAGTGTCAGTAGAGGCATCCACCAAAAGTATCTCCGAAATAGGTAGTTTCTCCTCTTCCTTTGTGGTTTTTCTTTGTCACCGAAAGTCTGACTGACATTGTAATCAGGAACCGCAGAAGTCATGACATTTGTATCTTGAAAAGGCTGCCCGACTTTCGCTCTGGATTGGCTCGACTCTTGCGAATTACTATCACAAGCATCCAGTATTTAATTGAGGGCCTAAAATAGCGAACACAAATTTGTGAACGAAAGATAATTTGTTTAAAGCTTGCTTACCAGAAAAGTAACACGGCGGCCAAAAGGTCATATCAGGTCATATCAGTAGAGTCAGTTTTATTCCGCGAATACATGACTTACCTCTTCGTGTAGAGCTCTTTTTCTTCGGCGCTCGCTGGACGGCCTTAGGCTTAACTTTTCCATGTGTTGAAACACAGTTGGAACGGCATCCTCTTTTAAGCGACGTCTGCTTAAATTGTCTGGCAAAATATCTAGTCGGTACTCACTTTCAAAACACGCGGGCTCAAAGTGTTCGGAACAGACGTGGCAGTGCTTCATTTGGGGCAAATTTTCCCTCTTTATCTGAGCAAACCATTTGCTTAAAAGGCCTTTATCTTTTAAAGGAAGGCGATGAAAGCTTATTCCTCCTTTAGAATCTCTAGGTGATCTATTGGAACAGCCTACGGCAATGCAGTGAATCATTTTCCATCCGAACAAGACAATTAAATTTGGCGCGAACGCAAGTGAGCGCAATGACGTCCTGCCATGCAGCCCAGCCTCCAACATGGCGGTCAAAATGGCGGACCTACATCGTGTGAATGTCATGAGCTATTTTACAGTCAAAACGCGTTAAGAAAGGACAAATACGGACAAATACTGCAATTTTTACTCAAAGCAAATAATTTGCTCTGTTGCAAATATGCAACGATAACTTGGTTTTTCACCTTCCGTTCTCCTTTAATTTCTATCAATTGAATCCAACTCCACATATTCTTTTACGTCTCTTCGCCTTTAGAAGTCGAGGGCTATTCTGATATCGATGGAGTTGTGTCGTAGCCCGAGTCAAGTACGAGTCAAGTTAAACTTCTCTTTTTTTTAGATTTTGTTTAGTCTTTTGGCCTTAATAATAATAATAATTGCTGTGTGTAAAAGTGGTGCACGAGAGGTTCACGAACAGACTGTCTTTTAGCTTTTTATCACTGCCGATTGTGAGAGTTAATAATTCCTGCCTTGATTCGCAACTGCTTTTCAAAGAAGTAAACATTCCTCGGGCGTTTTCCGTACGGATTCCGACCTCTATTAATAAGACACAACTAAGACAGAAGTTCCATTTCAACGAAACACCGTGAAAATGAGGTGAAGAATGAAAATGTTAGCATTTCTCGGGCCTTGTGCACCATCTTATTGCATTCACATCCGTACCCCCGGCGGAAAATTGCAGGAGGATTTTGTTTTTTGTCTTTTTGTTTTTGTTTTTGTTTTTTTTTCTGTAAAACACGTATTTGCTTCATTAAAATAATCATATCCAACGTATTATTCCCTTGTGTGCGGTTTTTTCGGAAAAACAATTCTCGGCAAAATTAATAGATGGCGAGGCTCAGCGAGGAATACCGGTAGCTTTAACATATACTGTTTCAAAATGCAAAATGAAATCTCCGCTTTGCGATCTCGTCAGCAGTGGAAAACAGTTTCGTGTCAAACCAAACTGACGCTTTTTTACAAAGACACAGTCAAACGATACAGTCAAACGATATCATAAAGAAGGAAAAGTGAGATTAAAAAAAAATGGCTCGTGATTCGAATTTGGTGAGGTTGACATGGGCTCCAACTCGACACGTGCAACGATTTAGCTCCGCACCGACCTTGCCTAGTTAAGTCGGGAAGGAGGAAGACCTCTCGCGACTTATCTAGGTCTAGGCGTTTCCGCTCGCAGGGTATTAGGATTTGAGTTATTACAAACATCTTCATTCCTTCATTGTACTGAAAAAACATTCTTGAATCAGAGAATAGAAATTGCTTACACGAGAGCAGGCCCCAAACTGACCAAAATGTTCGCGAGTACGCGCCAAGCGATCTCCTGACCTCAGTGGAGAGTCAGAAAGAAAAAACCGTCCAGCATCTAAAATGGCCAGTAAAACAAGTCATTTAGTGAGTGATTTCCAGCAGAAAACAACTGCAATAGGCCCTTTACACGATCTGGTCACATGGTACAAAATCACACATGCTGGGACGTAAGGTGCACCGTGGGACTTCCAAAACAAAGCAACTCGTACCAGTCCACCTTGACCTGTCTCTTTTTGGAAGTCCCACTGTGCAACTTGCGTCCCAGCATGCGTGATTTTGTACCATGTGACCGGATCGTGCAAAGGGCCTCTTTGAATTCGTAGTTCGCTGTACAAATCATTTGAGCCTATGGCAGTGGTCAGTCGATCAGTGGTTTTCTGCGAGTTCTCATCAATAATTCAACAGTTGCACGTTGGCGAAGTTGTAATAGTTTAGCCCGGGCCCGAGAAGTCCAGAATTCTGGAAAGAAGAATGTGGCATAATGATTAATTTATTCAGTAGGAAGTTGCAAAATACGGCTAGGCGTTCTTTTCTTTACTTTGTTTGTTTTTTCCTCACCTAAGGCGAGAGAAAAGCGAATTGCTTATGGATATCTCCTTTGTATATTTTCCTCAGGCGATACTTGTCAGACAAGGAGCTTTTTCGTAAGATGATTATCAAAGCCCAGGAAATTGAAGGAACTCGAAAACTTATTGGGGGCAGCGGATTACAAATTGGCAAGCGATTTGCATTGGATGGGTGTAATGTTCTTGCTGCTGCTGATTCCTCTGCAGAGTTACTGGAGATGCTACCTGAGAATTTGACTACAACGGGAAACACTGTGGATGTTGATGATGTCCATTTGCTGCTGGAATATCCTGCGCACTTTCCCTGGGGAAATTATATGTCACAAAGAGCTAACAGGTTGGTGCTACATAGTGATGAACACAATCCTTACTTGAAATCAATGGAAAAATTTCAGGAGAAATTAAAATACTTTTCGCCATCAATATTGGTGGTTGCTGGTCTCCAAAGGCTGGAAAACTTTCCAGTCTTTAGTCCTGGTGACAGTGGTAAACTTTTAGAAAAGCTGTCATCTTTCCTTGAGACTGTGGATGTTCCAATCCATTTTGAAATGGCATCGTTCCACCAAGAAACGTTCTTTGATGAACTTTTACAGTACGTAATACCTTATTCAAGTTCTATTGGCATGAATGAACAGGAGCTTCCTAACTTATGGAGTAAACTCCTTTATGGAAACATTACAGTTGTTTCCAGTCAGAAACCAAGGGTAGCAAAAGTGCTGGATCTCATGAGGGATGTTTACAAGATTTCAAGAGGGAATTATGGAAAAGGAAGAAAGAGGCAGCTGACTCGATTGCATGTCCATACTCTTGCTTTTCAAGTGATTCTAACCACTGAAGGATCACACTGGAAAAACACCAAGGCAGCTGCTGCAAAAGCCTCTCTGACGGCAACGAGGCATGTCTGTGGCTCAAGGGAAATTGATCCCAAGAAATCTAAGTTATTTATGGATGATTCATTTTCCAAGAGTATAGTTCCAGGTAGCCCTAGAGTTCAATTCAATTCCAATTCACCCGTGTCTTGCTGGAATGAGGAAGATTACAAAATTTGTGTTGCTCCAGTGTTAGTTTGTACTCAAGTGTTGCAGACAGGAGGTGGTGGTGACCATATTACAGCAGGAGGCTTGGTATTACAGATTTAAGCTGTATAGTTATTTGTTTGGTAACAGTGCTTTTACTGTTTGTCAAATAAATAGACATTGTTGTATGGTAATGTGCTCAGTAGTACATTATATCCTTGTAACTAATGGCTGTGTTAGGTTTGCAAAGTATTGTGGTAGAATGTAAAATAGTAAGGGGTCAACTAACTCAATCACCAGATATTGGGCCAATCCACATTACAGAAGTAAATCAGACAAACTGGAACAACTGATCAGCTTCACTCTTAGTCTTACAATTTTCTGTTCAACATGTAGTTACACTCTAGCTAGATCTTCAATCAAGATATATCAGTTTCATGGGTTATTGACAAAGTGCGAGATCAAGATGGCTGGATATAATATAGGCTGAATATAGAACTTAATATTGGTTAAGTTCTTTTTGTGTGTGTTTATTTATCCACCTAAATATGCTTAATGAATATTTTGACATTTGCTTCAGAGTTTGATGACTTTGGCCATGGAAAGTCCCGTCAGAGAGTCCCCTAAGGGAGTTCCTTTAGCAAGTCTCATTAGGGAGTGGTCAATTTGTTCCAAGTTTCTTCATCCTTATTCTGACTTTTAAGGCCCAATTTTCCAGCTGTTTTGTGAGCACTTATGCCTCTTCTTTTGTGTTTAATGTGCATGCACATAATAAGCAACTATGTTGAAAAACAGTTCCGCGTTAAACCATTCCAAGTGTAAAACTTCGGAGGTCCCATAGGATTGAATCATCACAAATGTTATTTGTATTGTCATCATATTAAGTCAGGTAGGACAAACACCAAGTAAATGGCACAATGGGGACCTAACTCTGGTTCACGTCATCCATGTGCATGAAAAGCAGAGTTCGAGTAACTTGTTGTTTTCAGCGTTCGAGTAAAGGCAGCCATATTACTACAACTTGTGGGCCTCTCGTTGCATGTTGTCTTACCATTGTTGTTTTTTCTGTTTCGAATAAATTGGGCAGCTGTCCGTCACAGGTTGGTTTCCAATTTTCAAGGTAAGCTTAAGTATTTTCAGTTCTCAGTCACTCTGTCGTTTTCTTCCTTTGGCATAGCCCTGGGGAATGTAAGCTTACATACCCACAAATTCCTTGTTTACTTCTTATTTCATTCAGGTGTTGCTAGCCAAGTTTCTTGAGCGATACAGGAGTTGCTTTTGTCAAGCAAGCCATTGAAATTTTATCCAGGCATGAATAGTCACATTGAGCTGTGATTGCAGTCGAAGTGCTGAACTTACTGGGGCTGTTTGTTAGCTACATGGAAAGATCAATCTGTGTATATGATCAGATGACTCATCACATGTTCAATGGGGATGCTGGAATTTGATGCTTACGATTTTTATTTAGCTGTATTTTACTTGCCAACATTGCAAAAAATTAACTTTTGTATACTTTGACAAACTGGAATCAAATGATATTTTGGTTTACACAAATGGTATTCTACTACTTCATCTCATTGTTTGTATGGCAAACTGAATTATGTTGAGGAAATTCCAGATCCCACATTATTTGATATGATTGGTCCAACAACCACTAAGTCTGTGGACTACAAATCAAGGAAATGAAATACTCTTTGGTGAAAATACTGGTGAGCAATGTGTTTAATTGTCTCATCAGATAGAATTATATATTAATTTGCAAGCTAATTTCACTCTGAATATGATTATTGGAAATAACCTATATAACTCTTCAAGATATTCTGTATGAACAAATGACTATTTGCTGTTAACTGATACACATAGCTAACTGACATCTTTCCAGGGGTTCTATGACATTTGGAGACTGCAGACTTTTTATTCAATATTGCATTCTCATTTCTATCACCGAGAGCTAACATAAACAGGTTAACCTGAGCACTATTCAGGCTGGCCTGAGAGATATTCACTCTGAATAGCCAGAGTGATATTTTGGCTTACCAGAGCAGTACTGATAGACCTAAATGTAGTTTGCAGTCTGCAGTCTGCAAATGTCATGCACCACATTCCATGTTTGTTTTCAATTTTTAATAGGGTGTACTCATGTACAATACAATACAATAACTTATAATGCTTCTGTTTATGAAATGTGCCTGCAGGGAATCATGGTAGTTGCATTCTTAAAAACAAATATCCAATCCAAGATGATTAATTTAATTTGACCTACACCTATAGAGAAGTAACTAATGTATAGAAAAGTGGTGGACAGTTGCTATGGAAACATGCTCTTACACTTTGAGTCCCAGTTGGCACAGCAATTTTGATACCAACAAAAACGAAAGACATCTGCACCATGCCATGTGAGCACAAGAACCTAGTAAGGCAGTCAGGCAAACTGAGCAATGGGAAATAGAACACTCTGTACTCTATTAGATATTTATTTTTTGTCATACATGTGTACAAGCATTTTACTTTGTATCACCATCTCATCAATATGTTTTATGTGAGGAGTTGAGCTAATCCACAGAACTCTTTGTGCAACTACTGTATGCTGACAACCACTTGAAGATCGTGATTGAGTCATCAGAAACAAACATGGATGCACTCTTCTGTCCAGCACATATTATACAAACTACAGGCCCAGGGGGTGCACGGGGTGCGTTCGCACCTCCCCACAGTCCCCAAAGGTCCGCATTTTGATACTCAATATCCAAGTTAAGGAGTGCAGTCGGTTAAACTGAAGTCTAAAACTTAACAGTGATACTTAAACAAAATCAAAGAATGGAAAAAGCAGTAATTTATTCACTGGGAAACTAAAACCAGCGGCACTCTAGTAGCCAGAGCCATTCAGAACATTTCAGTGAGCGCACTGATGTCCGAGCTTATCTAAATGAATAATAAAATTAACGTGCGCACGCTTTGCACGGGAGTTTAGACGACAAGGGAGCGATCTCATGATTTTTGTCAGACACGTCTGCTAACGCGTCGGGTAGTATTCTCTATTTGTACGAGCGAATGAACGCCCGGAGATGCAAAATGAGTTTTTTGTCTAATACNTCCGAGAAAAACAAAAATTTGAATTTTCCAGCAAATTTTGGGTGTACCCCCGCCTTAAGTTATTTACCATTTCTCAGTCGCTCTGTCGTTCTCATCCTGCCTTCGAAAGTTAACTGCACAGCGCTCGAGAATTTAAGCTTACGTACCGACAAATGCCTTGTTTACTTTCCCCCATTGGCCAATCAAATTATTTGAATAGTTCTAACAAAGGTGGTGATTGGCTTATCTTAGCTTGGGTTATCAGAGAACAGACCCCCGCTGACGTCACTTTTCCTCGTTTGGAAAATCAACTGAGTTTGGTGGGAAATATTAGCTGAATGTGCGGCAGAATTAATAGATTCTTTATCATGAAACAAATAAAGAAGCCTTGACTGTGCTCTGTTCTGTTGTAAAGCACTTCGGAAGCGGAAGAGCACCCACGTAGTAGGGGAGAACACTCGACTACGTTTCGTGTTTCGCCCAACACTTCTTTCGTGCTCTACCGCTTCCTACATACGTCCTTTACAACAGAACAGAGCACAGTCGAGGCTTCGTAATTAGATGTTTTGATGTGTTAAGTACTGCTCTGTACAGTTATGAGTTGTTCTGTCTTTTGATGAGCAAGTCAATACGTACACAAACGAGTAAAATTATACTTTGGTACTGCACATCAAATCATCTAATAAGAGTAATAATCAATAATAATTTATCAGCGAAAGAGGGAGAGTGCGACAGTTTTGAATGACTCGCGCAGACCTAACAAGTAGGATTTCTGCTGTACAAAAAACTAATTATACAATTTTGCTGTATATTTGAACCTTTTCATGTGTTTTTTGGACTACATTTATTGTGGTTGGATAATTAAGTGAGTTGTTAAGAGATCTAGTTAATCAAAGCAGCACTAATGCAAATTCACAGTGGTGACATTTGCCTACAGATGCAAAAGCAGATGACATACCAACAGTTTTACCTGCACCTATAAAGAACTAATGTACAATAAAGTGGTGGACAGTTGCTATGGAAGCATGCTCTTACACTTTGAGTTAAAGATGGCACTCATCTGCACCATGCTATATGAGCACAAGAACTTAGTAAGCCAAAGTCAGGCACACAGTGAGCAATGAGAAATGAGAAATGCAATGAGAAATGCAATGAGAAATGCAGGAAAACTCTGTACTCAATTAGATATTTATTTTTTGTCATACAAGCATTTTAATTTGAATCAGCATCTTATCAACACATGTATGTTTTATGTTACGAAGTGAGCTAATTCACAGACCTCTTTGTGCATCTACTGTATGCTACAACCACTTGAAGATTGTGACTGAGTCATCAGAAACAAACATGAACTGATGCACTCTTCTGTCCAGCAATACTATACAAACCACTGCCCATTGATCAACATACAACCTTACAATGTTCAAGCTATCATAAAAAGTATACAAAATCTAGTGTATCAGCATTATTGCTTTCTTTTCACTGCACTTACAGTAACATTTCAATGAAATAACCTAGTAAATTCTCCATGCCAATTGATTGTTATTCAGCATGTCTACATTTCCTTTACAGTCATGGCAAAAACTTTATATCAGAACTTCAGTGTAATTCAAGACTACTGAGGTGTCTATTTGGGGCTAAATGGTGATTTCTCAGTAACAGAATTTTTATGTAACAGGCTTAGTAATTTCTCAAAACCATCTTGACACTTCATGTAATGTACAAGTTAAACTGACATCGGCACACAAAGTCTTCCTCCATCAATAAAATTTCCTGCTTAAATTGATAAGAACTCATCTACATGTATGTTCACTTGACATCAGCAATCTAAAATATCTATGCAGGTCATTGATTTTTATACCTTTATTTTTATATCTTTACTCCTAAACACTCCTACTCCTAAACACTGACAATTAGAATCAAGGCTACTGCCTGACGGGCGTCTGGTCACCAGTCGCGACTAAGTTATGCTGAATGTGGCCAACTTTTAAGGTCTAAGAAGTAACTCCTTGAAACTACCTTACATTTGCAATAGTCAACCAATTGATCCAGGTTCGAGAATCATTGCATCATAACAATCTAATCACTCCTTCGGATCATAAGGCAGGGTTGCTGAGCACTGCCCTGGAGCATACATGTACATGTATCTACATGTACATGTAGGGGGTTTGGGGGGATTCAGCCAAACCCCCTAAATTAAAAAACAAATGATATAATAACACGCTTACTTGGCCACAGAATGCCAGAAATCCCACTGCATTTCTGAAGACCTCAATTTTAATACATTTCCAGGGCAGGATGCCCCCAGACCCCCTAAAGGGGGGTATCTCAAACCCCTGTATCTGCCTAAGATGCCTTAGCCTGTTCTAGAGATTTGGTTAGTCAGCAACAGTACAAAGAATGGAGAGTGAAGAAAGGCATCAGGCTTAACCCCACACAATTTCTTCAGTTACACGTATACCTTTCTTTGCACTGCTCTCCAATTAACCAAACCCTGGATGCTGTTTACTAATTTGCTTTGGAGAATTCAGTGCATTAAAACAGAGGATTTCCAGTCGTTCAACATCCCCAAGCGGTAAACAACCTGAGCACTGCTTTAACATGGTAAAAATAACTTATTTACTACAAGACACTGTAAAGGCAATAATTAATGACTTCAAGTCACTTTCCTCCAGATCTTCATTGTATAAATACTACAGTTTGTGGAATAGCACACTATGGTAAAATTTTATAATTCAACTACCAACAAGTACATTTTGGTCTATTTCTTTGTTTCACTGTCTGGTGGTGACTGAGGTCTGTTTGTTATACTTGATACAAGAGATGCTTTCCATTTCTCTTCAGGCACAACCTTGGCCCACTCAGGAATGGCTGACGTGGGAAGTGTAATTCCTGACATGACCTGTCTGATAAGGTCCACTTGTTCTGAATGAAGAAAGAAAAGACAAGTCAACATCTAATACCACATATATTTATCAGCTGAGTGTGAGACAAGAGAAGTTTTGCTTCAGGCTAAATGCAGTTACCATCAGTTTTTTCCATTAGAAATAATAGAAATGAAATGTCAGAAAACAGCAAGGTGCAGGAATGTGCAGTGCAGACAATTATATTGACAAATAATAAGTAAAAATGGCCAGTAAAGAGACATGTCCCAGACAAAAGTAATTTTGTTTTGTTTCATAAATCTGCCTCTTGAAAACACATGAGCAATACATTGTATAAAGAAGTACTGTAATAAGAATCAATGGTGAAATATTACTTCAGATACATGTAGAACACCCTACACTGTACATGTACATGTACATGATTTTTGATCTTGAAGCTCGCAGAGGAAAGTAAAAAAAAAAAAAAGAAAATTAGTAGAACTTTAACATTGTTCCTAGATGCAATTTTTCTCTCAAAAATCTCTAAGGTAGCTGGCACACCCAAGACTACTGGATGGCAGCTTTCGCTGGGTGCTGGCAGTACTTCTAGAGAACCTTACACTTGCCTTGTTTCATTTCTGGCTCAGCCCTTCTGACTGCAGATGATGAACTATTGCTGTCACTATCATCAGTAACTATAACTGCACTTTCAACTTCTGAACCTTCCTCCTCTGTCTGAAAAATGAATGGTAAACCAAATTTGCTTCTGGAAAGTACGTACAGTAGAAATATTTTAACAATATATCTGAAAGTGCAAGTACATCATTATCACTTGATATCTCCAGTAAAGTGTTAGAGAGAGCCAATCCAAAAAGAATTTGAGGAAGTGAATATTTACCAGTTGGGAAGTCCAAAAAGAATCAACTGGGCAGTGCTATCCACTAGTAAACAACCAGACACTGGCCCAAGTTGCTCAAAGTATGGACAAAGTTTAAGCCACCTGTAGAGATTAATATCACTGCTTTCTAGGAGCTAAATTGCAACTAGGCAAGACCTACATGTACATGTAAGAACATTTGTTTAGGATGCTAGAGGCTAATCAGTGTTATCATCCATGAAATATTTTTGCATGCACACAATTGATCTAAATGCGTCACATGATGGAAATATGCCCCAGCTACATGTAAACCTGGGGAATATGCAGGTGATATTTCACAGTTTTAAAGGCTAATAAAGGATAACAAACACAATACATGTAGCCTCCATTTGGCCCGAAAATATGCTCAGAAATTTTGTCCTTGGACATTATCTGTTCCTTAAAGCCTAATGTTTGCTTCTTGGAACAGATAATGTCCGCAGACAAATATACGAGCATATCATCATGCCAAATGAAGGCTATTGTTTAATTATATGTACCAATACACCAGAAACACTATGATATCCAATTTGTATACATGCAGTTATTATGTGATGGATAATACCATCCATCCTTTAAACAACCAGGAGTCAGATAAAACAATGCCCAGTGGATAAGTGATTCAACAAAACCAACCGTGTTATAATGAATACATATTGTATGTACATGTTACATAGCATAAAACAACTCTTTGAATAACCCTCAACCAGATAAATTCAAAGAGCTGTCCACTGGATAAGATTCAACAATTTAAATCAACTACACATGAATGTACAATATTGACTGAATAACGATTGTGGATTTGACTGGTGCATAGCATTTATCAGTACTCTGAACAATGGAGGGCAGGGTCTTGGACAGTAAAGGTTTTAAAAGGACTTAGTGGTCTGTGTCCGATCAACAGGCCTTCTGATAGGGTGCGAGAAAAATTGCAAATTATGCGAAATTTGCAGGGCAGATTATGCGATTAGAAAGGCCAATTGTGCGATAAATAATGTAAATTATGCGGTTTTTTTCTGAGCAATTTTGAGCTTGTTTTATAAGGTTCCAGGATAAGAAAAACACTTTTTTGCGGCCCTAAAGACATTTTGAACACAAAGGAACAGTAATTATGCATCTTGATCGACATTAGTTGGGATAAATAAAAAAA